CAAACTCACATATTCGCAAGAAAGAAATGTGTATCGACAATATTGTGTACCATTCAAATAGTTTCCTCATGATTGGCTATTAAAAAATTCCGTGAGGCAGCGAGAGCGCCATTCGAAACGTGTATCGGCCGTGAACATACACCGCAGGGTTTGGTACTATAAAATGTTTCGTTTTAGAAATAATGTGTCGAAAATGGTTCAGTTGTTAACTGCAAACATACCAACTTTTATCGCCTGTCCAGCGTGGTAAGTCTAGGTAAATCTTTCATAAGTCATGCTCATGCCAGCTGTCACTTTTATTAAAAAGGCCTAGTAGTGATAAGATCTAAAGTGGACTAAGAGGGACTATTGGTAAGAAGATGTGACACCTAGATTACAGACATTTTATTGATGACACTAGCGCCATTTGTAAAGATGCATCAATAGTATCATATCGTCCCGTGGGTGTCGTAAAAGGCGACTATGAACGGAATTTAAACAAAATTCGGCCTCACATGCAATACTGTTCCCATCTCTGGACCGGAGCACCCCAGTGCCAGTTCCTTCCACTTGACCGCATCCAGCGCAGAGCGGTTCGGATCGTCGACAACAGAGTTCTTTCTGATCGGCTCGATTCACTGGCGCTGCGTAGGGATGTTGCATGCCTTTGCATTTTCTATCGAATCTACCACGGGGAGTGCTCTGAGGAATTGTTCGGACTAATTCCAGCCGCCAAATTTCATGAATGCACATCGCGTCAAAATTCACGATACCATCCTCATCATCTGGATTCTTGGCGGTTTACCACTGTGCGTTTTACTAGGAGTTTTTTTTCCTCGTACAACTTCTCTGTGGAATTGTTTACCACTGGGGATTTTTCCGGACCGATACAACTTAGGGACCTTCAAGAAAAGAACTTACTCCTTTCTAAAAGGCCGGAAACGCACCTGCAATTCCCCTGGTGTTGCGGTTGTTCATGGGTGGCGGTAGTCACTTACCATCAGGTGAGCCGCATGCTCGTTTGCCCCCTCTCCTATAAGATGGGTAGCATCAGCATCTTCCCGATAACAACTCTAAATAAAAAAAAACAGCGGCTGACAACCCGACTGCCAAGCGTGGCAACTATGGCAAATATCCCCCCTAGGAGGCACTCTTTGTTCAGATACAGACCACTACCCCATATTGGGCAGGTCTATGTACAGATGACTTCTCTCAAGAAATGAGAGAGGGTCAGTGCTCAACAATGAGACGTATGTAGGCTATAACTTTAATTTAGGCTACGGTAAACACAACTTATGGACATTGTTTTTTTAATTTCATTGCAGATTTTTTAGTTTATTTATACGTCCTTATTCATATTTAGAAACAAAGTTATTAGTCATTATTTAATTTAGAGTTTCTTGCATCATTGTATAGAAACACATGTGTACCTAAGTCTGTATTACTAACGTACATTCATTTATTTGATCGTCATAATCATAACACCCCAATTGCTTAACATAAGCCTCCCTGAAAGAAATGTTACGATGCACGGTCCTGAGCTACTAGCATCCATCGACTTCCTGCACTTACTACCTTAAGAGATGCAGGAAGTTGGTGGATGGATACGACCTGGTAAGAGATTTTTAGCAGGTCACTCCATATAGTGGTAGGCCTTCGCTTAATTTTAGGGCCAAAAAGAGCCCTCCTGCCTGCTCCAATGCTTGTTCGGACGTTTTCCTTTACCAATTTTTATTTTAAATATTCATTTTAATTAAACTAACATTCCAATTCATTAAACAGCATGCACAATGCGTCGCCTGAGCCTTAAGAGATATTTTTAATACGAACTGATATTTCAGATTATGGACAATTGAATTGAGAATAATAAATATATAAAATTGAAATATGTATGACTATAATAAAAAAAAGTAAAAGTACCTAAATTATCTTACATATAATTTATATATTTATATAAAGCAATGTTTAACTGTACGTAAAATTGCTTAATAATATTAAAAATTATCTACATTAGCTTTAGTGCAAATTCTCCAATTACTTTCATCCAAGACCAGTCAGTTGCATACCTAACTATCTTTATTTTAGTGTGACCATATTATAGTCATCGTAACTTAATATACAATTATAATTACGAGAATACTATTGAAATATCGTTGTGGTACATTATACAAATGCTTGTAGCACAGGTATTGCATTGTTTCTTCTTGTTTTCTTACTCATAAACTTGTGTGTAGTGGATAGTAACAAAACTTGCAAAAGTTATAGACACTGGTATTATGGTACTGGGAAGTTAAACTAGCCAAATATCGATGAGCCGCCGTTATTAGATAGTATCTATTTATGATATGCCGCCATAAGCCTGAAATATAACCAGGTTTTACCGATTTCGATAAGAAACGCAAACTGCCGTTTTACCCTTCGTTTATATAAGAGTATAGTGGAAATACATACTCATTTATTACTTTGGGATTGATTAGCTGAATATTGCATAACAGTTGCTTAGTATAATATAAGATCTTTATCAATGAAATTGCAGTTTTGCTAGAAAATCAATCTTTTATATATATCATGTAGAGCCATGCTGCAGCTAAATTAATTGTATAGTTGTAGCACGAATGGTCGGCTCTACCGGGGAAGGACCACGCTCTCACAGAATACCAGCGTAAAATAGCAGCTTAATGCCGCTGTATTTCGTAGGGTGAGTGTTGAGAACCGGAGACCCTTTTTATAGGAAAAGAGGCATTCCATCTTAGCCCTTACGGTTGACCACGCATCTATATTTTGATTCGCAAATGAGGATATATGTAGATGTTTATGGCCCACAGCAATTACTTATCATCAGGTGGACTGTGTGCTCGCTTGTCAACCTTATCCTATAAAAAAAAATATAGGTATAATTGAATAATCGGGGCATTGCGCTTTAATGTCAATGCACCTACTGCCATTAATTAAATTTTAATTGAAGCCTTTGCTGACGAAATCGTGGGTACGGGAATTATTCAAAATTAATTTATGTTAATGAAAGATTAATGTGAATTATCAGTTTGTTGGTTGACTGATTTAATTTTCGCTGCTATCGCTAAATGCGAATGGTGTCCCTCTAGAGTCGATCCTTGGTCCATATTTATTCTGAGTATATGTATATATCTATCTGGCAAAGAAATTAAGTTCTACTGCTTTCTTTGAGCGTAAAATTAGGCTGTGTTAACGTACAATGAAACAGCTAAATTAATATACTTTGTGTATTTATAGTGTTATGTCATAATACATTTTGTTTTTGAGCTCTGTAAGCACATTTTAAATTATATTTATATCGTAAAAGCGAATAACACAAGCAATTTATAGTAAGATATACCGTTAAGTCATTGCGGGAATTATTTAAGGAAATATACATACTGACACTTCTGTCTCTGTATGTTTATTAGAACATTACATAATATGTACCTTCGATCGAAAAAAAATAATAGTTTTATAAACATTAACACACTCAAGTAACACTACATACAACAATAAATTTGGCCATTCCTAACATTAGGTTGATCAAAACCAGAAAACTTTCTTATATAAATCTATAAAGTGGTATTATAAAAATTCCTCGTAATATAACTAAACCACCTAAAGAGAAATTTCAAAAATTGTTAAAAGTACATTAACTAGTAAGGCATATTTTGAAATTGAAAACTATTTGAAGGATAAGGATCTATGAAATAAAATTAGTTTTGCACTGGAAATCGGCTGGCACAATAGTATTCCACTATACCAATACCAACTTCATATAATTCCATATTTTATCTATGAAAACCATTTTAGAGAAAAGACAGCAGTGGATTTAAGAAAGCCCATGGTGAAATCATTATAAATAATTATAATGAAGGGAAAGTAACAAATTTAATTTGTTAATATAATATAAACATGCTCTTGAAGTGGCAACCTAAGTTCGGAAGTCACTATCACCTATCCATAACCATAAAAATATATTTTTCAAATAATATAATACTCGCCTTATCGCTTTTTCAATATTACTGCCATGTTAGTATCAGCCATGAAAAATTAATTATACTCTGCGTGACGGTCGAAGCCGTGGTGTGGTAGCCCAGATGGTTAGCGTTAGCTATAAATTTCACAGTATGCGAGCAAACCGGGTTCGATCCCCGCCAGCAACAATGAAATTGTTAATTGCAATTTTTAGTGCTGATTTACCACATGTACGGCGGTGAAGGAAAACATCGTGAGAAAAACTGCATGTCTGAGATATAAGAAAAAAATATTTTGAAGATATGTGAAGTTCGCCAACACGCATTAGGGCAGCGCGGCGCACACTTCTTTGCTCTAAAAGTTTACAGACTATATACGTCCCACTGCTGGGCACAGGCCTCCCCTCATCATAAAGTAGCTTTAATAGCCCCAGTAGTGCCATTGTAACAATAAAGCTAGTATGCGTGTGTGTGTGCGTGCGAGCGTGCGTGCGTGCGTACGTGCGTGCGTGAGTGCGTGCGTGCGTGCGTACGTGCGTGCGTGAGTGCGTGCGTGCGTGCGTTCGTGCGTGCGTGCGCGCGTCCTTGTGTGTATGCGCCGTAAGAATATCCACTAACCCATATCATCCGTGAATTTCGTAAGAGATAACATATGGAACTGAAGAAGGAGTTGGGCAGCATCTTTCTGATAACAAGTGAAAATAATAAAAAATCTGAACCTGCCAACACGTTTGCCAAGCATAACAACTATGATGGACGCACGTCGCGGCAAAGCTCCCGATATCATCCACAAAATCTGGGTGCTTGGCGGTCCACCACGGTACGTTTCCCTAGGAGTTTTCTTCCGCGTTCGGCCTCTTTGTGGAATACTTAGTTTACCACCGGCGATCTTTCCTGCCCGATACGACTTAGGGACCTTCAAGAAAAGAGCGTACTCCTTTCTAAAAGGCCGGCAATGCACCTGCAATTGCCCTGGTGTTGCAGTTGTTCATGGGCGGCGGTAGTCACTTAGATATATTTAATCATATATTTGAAAACCACTTCCAGGTACAATGATCCCGAAATCTGGTGGAGATTATGCTTACATAGGCGAAGCGTTTGGACCACTTCCTGCGTTTTTATACCTTTGGGTGGCGCTGTTCATCCTTGTCCCTACCGGGAACGCTATCACGGCGCTCACTTTCGCCCAGAACATCCTTCAGCCCCTTTGGCCAGCTTGCGAACCTCCTACGGATGCCGTGAGCCTTATAGCTGCAATCGTCACATGTAAGTCGAATAATTTTATAGTGTTGATAAATAATAAAATGTTAATTATTGTTATTACGTACGTTACGTTTCGTTCTCCAGAACGATTTTTTTTAATATTAAAAGATGAATATTTACCGTTTTTATATAAGCCGTATGGTTGTGGCGTAGGAGAATCTATCACTCCATTTCGTCCCGTGGATGTTGTAAGAAGCGATTATGGAAAATGCTAGAAAAGTCTTATTCCTTTCGATAGATGGCGGTACACTACAATATACCTTCACATTCATGTCAGACATAATTATAACTTGTAACAACTAGTAAACACTGACTTCAAATTGCTAATAAAGAAGTTATTTATTTGTTTCTCTTAGCTATTTAATACCTATTTAATAAAAAAAATAATCATCAAAATTGTTTCACAATTTGCGAAGATATCGCGTGAAATACACACAAAAAACTGAGAACCTACTCCTTTTTGAAGTGGGTTAATAAAATATACCGGTGACGGGCAGCTGCGTCCGAGATATAAGACGTCTAGTGTATAATACGATCGTCAACCTATTTCCGATGAATGTACGATACATAATCAAGCAACATGCAACACACAATAATACTCAATCTTTTGGTAATGTAATGAACATCGAGCTAATATTACAAGTGTTTGAACGGATTCAGGTGTATGGTGAAGGTTAGATTTTCAATAACCGTGGTTCATAGTTATTTTTACTGTATATCGCGTCGTGATATTTATTGATTGAGTAGATTAATGTATTGATAAATTATTTCAATATTTATCACAGAATTGCTAGATTTCTGAATTCCGTATTGACGAACCCTCGGTTTGTAATATGACCGTGAAAATGTGGTGGTGTGCATCGCGATAGCAATGGAGGAAAACAATTTATTTTGGTGTTAATTTTTAATAATCATAACCGCATCGTAAAAATTGTTAATTATTGTAATCCATTCCATTCCAGTCTAGTATTTCAGTCAGCAAATAAAAATATGTGTACTTTTCTCTTTGTTGCAACTACTTCTTGTCCATCGTTTTCTTTTTATTCTTATTTTTAAAACTATAATAGCCACAAAAGAATTATAAAAGTTACCGTCTATAAGCCTTCTGGAATAACATTATCGTCATTAACGATATATGCATTATATTGTTAATATGTATTTTCCTGTTGTAAAGCAGTATATTAGGTCGGGTATTCAAATTTAATTAAAGTTATACGCGATAAAATTTGTAAAATTTGTTTTATTCAACGTGTAGTATTCGCGCCAATTTAAGAAATTACTGCTGCCCTAATTCTAAGTCAAACATTAAGGTCACGGGACGGAAAAGAGTAATTTGGATTCTCTTATCACGCCACCATAATTTGGTCTTCACAGAGCTTACAAAATGATTAGAAACATATATATTAAGATATATTTAGCAACTCGCCCCGGCAACTTCTGGATAGTATCTGTTAATGTGGGGTTATTTAGATTTAAGATAATCAAACAAAACAATTTTTGTTTTAAAAATAACTTCAAGTTTTTCAGATAAAAATATAGCCTAGATCCCTCCTGGCGTTGTTCTCTATCTGTTGTTTTGTATCGTAAAGTTTCGTCAAAATCTGTTCAGCCCTTCCGAAGCTTAGCCTGGATAGACAGACAGACAGACACAGACAAAATTTAAAAAAAAAAATATATCTCTTAATAGCATGCAAATAACCCCCTGAGCTTAATAGAAGCCAGTTATTTCCATATTATAAAACTTGTAGACAGACGCTTTAATTTTATTTATATGTGTATTATGTATAGATTAAGTTCCTCCAACCAAGTTCACAGAGAATATAACCTATGTTATATTTAGATTTTATATTGGTATATTTGTCATATTAGCGTCTGTTTCCTGTTTATTATATAATTTAAATATTCGTCTTATTGGCGGTGATATTACGAGTATATCGCGTTAAAAGGTAACTTACCAACAATTTTTTTCAATTAAAATACAAAAAGCCGGATACGAGCGAGTAGGGCTCGCGCTCTGAGGGTTCCGAATAAAATTTACAGTTAGATTAGAAGTTTAGATTAATAGTTAGATAGATAGTACATCCATGCCGGATATCGAGAGATTTGACGATTTTTTTCTGTTCAGTACACAACCGTAAATTGACAAAGATACATATTATTTCATTTATATAGATAAGTTCAACAGTGTAAGCTCATAAGTAGAGTATGTACTTACTTTCACCAAAATAAAAAAAATAATTAGGTTACTGAAATTCTTAAAGTAATAAAAGGTAAGGTAAGCACCAAGTACAAAATAAAGTACCCTCCTTATTTTGTGAACAAACATAACTCTAAGGAAAAGGTAAGTCGTATAATAAGGAAACAAAAATGTTGTCCCGTTTCATTTTTTTTCAACGTTATACCTTTACATTAGGATTTTCTCCCGTATCGAGGGGGCAGTTTACATACATAAATTTTACATGGACAAACATCCAGATCCGAAACAATTATATTTGTAGGCCATACAAACACTTGTTCCGTGCGGGATTCGAAACCGCGGCCTTGAGCGCTCCAACTCATTGCTAAACCACTGCGCCACGGAGCCCTCAAACTACATAACAACTGCGTAAGTTTATAATCGCAAAAACATATTTTGTTTAGGTACGTGTTACTCTATCGATGAAAACCACGCGTTTGATTAAAATCAGAATAAGATTATGGAATATAATCTTTAAGTATAATATGCTCTTGTTTAATGACCTTATTAAGTTTGTGAATATTATTAATTTGAATTTTAAATGACTTATTGAGGTCAGGTCGTCTTTGCTATGTCTATTATTCAACATTGATTTCGTCATTCGTGATCGTGACGAAATATGGTTACCGCCGAAACAAGCAGGTGTGTTAGTAGCCCACTTTATTTGTAAAGAGAAATAGCGCATTTTAAATTATGTTCTGATGTTATTATGTTAACACTCGACGTATTTTTAATTATTAATTGGATAAGTTTTCCTTCCGATCCAAAAAAATCTTTCCCTTCAATGTCCTGTGCATTCCTCGACTTATTATGACAAATCATTTTCTGTTCTTGAAGTTAAGACCTTGAAACTCCTTACCACAGTTAATTAAAAGTGCTCGATCCTTAAATGTGTTCCAGAAACAGGTTAAGTATTTGTCTCTCTAACCCCTCCCCCTTCCTCCGCGTAATTATAGACATTGATCTACCTAAAGAATGTGATTTTTTTTAATTTTTAATGCATATGTTTGTATCTTTTTTATTTATTTTTTATTTTGGTGCACCTTACCCATTGTCCTTTTTCATAGTTTTATTTATTTTTTCTTCTGGGTTGTCTGGAAGAGATTGCTATGTAGCAATAAGACCGCCCTTTATTATCAATATTTGCCCTGTATTTCACTCAATAGTTGTTTATTTTTTCTTTTTGATATTATTATCTTTTCTTGGTGTACAATAAAGAGTTTTTAAACTTTGCTTGAAAATTGATTTAAAATTAATTGTTCCCGTTTTCCAACCGTTTCCATTAATGTCAGCAATCGTCACCCGGAGTATTGCCATTTTTATGGTGCTGGAGAGCCATTCTATTCTCGCTTAGACTGGAGTTCGGGATATCACTCGAATGGTAATGAATGAGAATTGTCCTTCAGTCGTTTCTCTCACTTGCGTGTGACTCCAGTGCCAGTGTGTAACTATAGCAATAAAAATTTCCGGTTGTCCGAAAATGACTGCCACAGACGGTGTTTAACTTAGACAGGTGACTCATTCCAGCAGAAAGATCCCTGGCAAATATTTTGATACCTTGTGGAACCAAGGTATAATGATACAATCGATTTTTTAATATGAGTTGTATAGAAATTTTTGACACGAAATATGTCTGTTAATTTGCCTGTATTATGTCATATCAGTTTAAGGTTGAAGACTTCAGTTTCATTTCTAATTTAACAGCCACGAGATTAAGAGTGTGATCGGAGAGTTTTTGGGTTCATCTATGAAGGGTCTTTTTTTAGTTTTTGTTGGTCTAAAAATTAGCTCCGAGCGCATTAACAATTTCTACGTGCTTGTTATTTATCTCGTCTTTTGTATTGCAATCTTCTAATCGCTGAAAACGATTTGGTAATTAAAATTGATTATGTCTTATATTTATTTAAAACACTTTAAAAATACCATCCATTTTAATATTATAAAATATGCAATGGGGCAACGTCAACTTACTCTAAATAAATTTCTTTTAAAAATGAAACTAGCCTGAAGTTTATAAATATGTACATAGATAAAAAGTACATACGTCTATTTTAATTGCATACGTAAATAAAAAAAATGATAAAGCCAAGTTAATTTCAAATATTACGTAAATCAAATAATTAAGGCAATTTATTTAAACAAAATTATGGCAGGCAATGAAAACGTAAATACGAATATCTCCAACAATTCAAATTATTCTTTTCACCCTTGCGATAATTTAACGTTGCAAATATTCCATAGGATCCAACGGCTTTTGTTTTAATGTTTTTTTCAACTCTTTGTGCCTGCAGTGTAATTGCATTTTTGTTCTTGCGCAAATTACAAGCATTACTTCTTTGAAAAGACTACTTTATAATGCATTACCCCATGCCGAGTACCGGTTCCTTTCTCCGAAATCGAGTTTCGGTTATTTATTTCGTACTCGACATGGCTCATTCCCAGAATTGATTGTCAAGTATTTTGGCAATGAACTTTTTTCTCTTTCATACATTCATTATACTGTCAGGTTTCATGTTGCATAACGTTTTTTTATTTATTAAAATTTCCGGCATCAATTTTTATTATAGTGTTTTGTTCGATGTAACGATCCAAGGAATACAGATGCTCTTAGCGACACGAGGACGAGCACAATACAATAATTTGACCCAAAAATCAACAACTTGTGTTTTTGCATGAACTTTATCTTTGCCTAATTTGAACCTAGAACACCTGGAGTAGCAACTCCTAGTCATTTTATAAACTCATATTGGATTCTTATTTATGTATT